CATAAATCCTGACCACCCATTGCACGCAGAACTGATACGCTCTTGTTCCTATTCCTTCATACACTTTCAATGCCGCCAAATTTCATCTTGTATAAACGCTTATCGAAATTCACCTATGCACTATCTTGCACGTTTACTCACAAAAAAGATTGTAATGAGGGAACTTTGTCTTAACTCTGGACTAGGAAATGTCCCTAAACCTGTAAACACCTTTTCCCCGTTGAATATCTTCTTTGTGACGGTTGGCGTGTATAGGTTTTTAACGGAAGTATGAGCTTCAGTGCTTGCAATACAGCAGAAAGAAGAGGAATTTGTCTGAACAACCCCTGTACGCGTAGCAAAAACGATTTATGCAGGTACTCAAGCTCCCACTACTCTCATTCCATGCAACTCAAATCCCGGGTTATTGCCATGATCAAACGAATGAACAAATAACTGGTTAGCGGAGGGCTCCGGTTTCGAATTCCCCAAGAAAGTTTAACTGCCTGGCCTGGGCAACCTGGCCGCAATCCATCTACATGTGAATCATAGAACAGTTTTCTTTGTGTAAAGATTATTGTACGGTGGTTTGTCTAGCACATAGTTTGACCTCAGTCGTGTTATATATATATAATATACGAAATATATATGCATATATATTTTCGTAAAAACCCTTGTTTGTAACACCGGGTAACCATTGGATAGACAGCTCTTTCAGAGCCAGTCCAATGAAGAATCGATGCTATGATTCAATGTTTCGTAATTGGTTTAGATGCTACTAACCGCAACAAACGTGACCTGATGGTCTTGGTAGAATATTTCATAGTAAGTAGTATGTGAATGACTGGACAGGGAAATTTTGTCCAGTCGTTCACATACTACTTATTATGAAATATATATGTATATATAACTGAATCTTACATTCGGTCTCAAGATGGGATTAATCCTAAAGCTTGTTTTATTTGAAATGATGATGGATAAGTTATTGTATGACCTCGTTTAAGAAATCACCACAAGTTGGGAACGCAGTACAATACAGTATAATAATTAAATCAGTTTATTCATTTACTTCATACTGTATAATGGTCAGGTAATTGACTCGATGAATATGCTGATAGAAAGGATGAGGAGGTTTTATGACATTCCTACAGATTTTCACCATCTCATGTGATAGCCTGATTTGGAAGATTGAATTACTTGCAAAGACATGCTCATTCCGAAGTATAAATACAAATGAATTAATATATTCTATAATAAATTCACCAGAGAGGCAGCCAGTCATCAAACACTATACCTCTAAGTTATTTGTTGATAACCCTTAGTTTTCATAAAGTGCACTTACCTGATGCATGCTTTATCTTCAGGTAAAACGCGTATTTCGTTCGTAAACGAGTATAATGAGACGAATAATTTACCGTTTCACTCTAATCTAACTCATATGCAATTAATATTATTGTGGCCCTTTCATTGATGTGTCTCATTTACCGATTCAAGCATTTGCAGCCTCCATTTTGAAAGTGACTAACCTTCATGTACTTTGACATTTTCGCTTAAATTTTGCTCCCTCTTTTATTATTCAGATTTCCGTAGAAAACTATAAGTTATTTCAGTGTAATTAGCTTACACTCCACTATCACATCGTGCAATGTTACCCACGATTTCGAATTGTTATGCCTACCTAAAAAGACAGTTATTAAACAAAAAACAACTTTGCTATCGCCCGACTCGATAATTGTCCTATTGGGACACTATTTGCTCACCAATCCATACCTTAAATATTTCTGATCATGGATTTCATCCCTTCTCCTATTTGTCATATGAAGTAAATCTTTAAAAAAAACACTCCCCAGAACTCTGAACCATGCGGAACTCACCTTGGCCAGCTGAACTTGTAACTGGTTTCGTGCCTCAGCGGTCTCTTGAGCGCGTTGCGCAATTGCTGAACTACTCGTTCCCCAAGCGTCACGCATCTTGTTTGTGGCTGCATTCAAACAATGCTCAATATCCTCACGTATTTTCCGGCTGGCTGCACGTTCAGACTGTGAACGTTTCAAGTTTGCGGCCGTGTGCTCGACCCACTTTTCTGGCACACTCATGCTAAGAAAATAAGTGACAAGACAGATGAAGTGTCTCCTACCGTTTTAAGCTATTTTCATTTCGATGAATGTTTGCGGGTCCCTCGTTTGTGAAATAACAGTGTTAATCCTGAGTTCTAATTTGAAAAATAGGATTAACTAAAGCAACTGCTTCCCGAAATAAACTTAGACAAAGAACACATAGGATTAAACTGATCAAACTGGATTGCAAAAAAACGAACATAGAACAGGAAAGGAAATACTTCGCTTTTGCTAATATCAAAGAATCTGAAAAATAACTTTTAAAAGCCTTCAAAGGCAACCAAAACAACTTCACGCAGTAGAATGTTCAGAAGTTATTTTTAAACTATTTATCCGCTTCAGAAAATACATTTTGAGGATTGTAAACGGAGGTTTAGTGTTGTTTAAACAATGGACATCCCTCAGAACCAAGCACTGGGTGAAGACTAAATTATAATCACCAAGTGCCGTTTTTGTGACACAAAATGAATTTCACTAGACTAAAATCATTTCACCATGCATATAAGTCCCGATTGGTTCTGCTTCGAACGGGTACACAATTCATCTATCAAACCTTGCAATGAGCGCTTAGTAAGCTATGAAGCATACGCTGGATCCAGCTGGATTTCGGTGAATTGGCACTTTTGTTTCACTTAATAGCTGTGTAGAGCTTTAACAACTCTGAATAATAAGTGATGGTTTAAATTCGTTTACGTGTGCGTATTCTCTGTAGCGGCAGTTTGATAAGAACAATGCATATGCTGGAAATTTTACAACCACAAGTGCAACATTATTACCAGTATGTCGTGAGCAAGTGAACACATGGATTACCACCGGATGAATATCTAGTGTGGACAAACTAGTTTATGAAACTTAGCTTCTTTTGTCATCGTATCCTAAAATGGTCTTGTTTTTTTTTGCCTTTATCAAAGACTATGACACGATAAAAGCAGAATTGATAGCGGTTATTGATTTCGCATGCTCTCAATCAGCACAGCAAATAGGTCAAAATGTTATAAGAACACCATATACGAACATATACATATTGACGTGGTTTTAAGCTGGAAAACAATTAGTTGTTGAGTCACTAAACAGTCATTTGGAGAAGGATGAACGAGGAGCGGAATAATGATTACAAAGATTGCAGGGAAACAGACCGCTAGTATAGAAACAGTGACGTGATGGAAAAACGATTAACTGTGTAGTAAAAGGAGCTGAAAATGAAACGAAACGGACAAAACCAGAAATAATTCAACACGGATGTAGAAAAGTAACGGAATAGAACGTACCAGTGGAGGAAGCCGTTGAGGAGGTTTGTAAATATGCTAGTGAAATGGATTCCAATCAAACGAATTGATAATACTATTGAAATTGGGGTTATTATGTACAGTTGCTCTTCATTGCACGATCTACCGTTAGATAGATGGGTATCTATGGGCAGCCAACTTGGATCAATCCTAGCTTATATATTTATTTCTAAACTGGAGAACAACATTGAAAACGAGCTGCAATCCTCAGTGTTTTATCGCAGTTCTGTCGATAGCACACTAGTAATCATCTCACATAAAATAGATGTCATGGTTTTTGTCAAATAGATTGAAGGGGGTGCAAAACAATATCCAATTTACTTTGGAATGTGAGACTATTGGCTCATTTCCATTCCCAGATCTACTCTACAACTGCCAATTCACCACAAGTGTACATGGACAAGGCAGTATTTACACTTTCAAAGCTTTTACCCTCTATTTATAAAAATAATTGATCGGTGAGAACCATGTTCTACAGAGTTCGTTGTTTGTGTAGTCGCCAAATGTTAGAAAAGTAACTTAGAGAATTGACCAATGCCTTGTCCACCAATGGTTATTGCTTACCTTTTATGGAAAAAACACCTACCATCCCCAGACCAACGTACACTATGGTCCAAAAGAAACCGGTTTTCATTGGTGAATCATTTAAAGAAAACAATGTCATTACACCGGTGGGTCGTCGGCTTCGTATTAAATTAGAACCTAACTATCCGGCCGCGAAGCTGATCATGATACACAGGACTATCAACTCACTAATTGGGTTAAACATAGACAGATCCAACGATTCAGTCACCTTCAGTTGCATATAACTTTATCAATATACTTGCAGTTCGAGGTATGTGAGAAGAACTGAACGCCGAATGTTGACCAGAATGAGTATACAGGTTCCGAAAACCTTGAAACTTCGAAGGAGGAAACTTCAAGTGAGCATTCTGGCATGACCTTTATCGGATACCAGACACTGCATTGACAAACTCAAAGCTTTTAGTGTTATCCTCAAACTTCAAAGCCCGAGGATGCTTCGATTTGCCGAGCGGTTGTCTTTAACCGTTCGAATTCCTGATCAGTGCTTGAAAAGGCCTTTGTGACGCAGTCGTTATTACCATGTTAATTGTTGATTATCTATCCTTCCCTATTCCTTCTCCTCATCTCAGCTGTTCCCCTACCCAATAGTTGATACTTCATCCTTATTTCTGTGTTACATAACTCTTGTTGACCAATGTTCTAATCCATTACCTTTCTTCATCCGTGTTAATTCATTTCTGGTTTTATCTATTTCGTATTAAGTAACCATTTTCAGCCCCTTTTACTCCGCGATTAATTTTTCCCATCACATAACTGTTCCTATGTTAGCGTTCTCTTTTTCTGCTACCTTTGTAATCATTGTCCAACTCCCCATGCAATTATCTCTAAATGGCTTTTTACTAACTCAACAACCAATTTCTTTCCGCTTGAACCTATGTAATAAACTCATTTGCTTATCTGATAAACAAAAACTGACAATATATCATGAAAAATGAGCAATCATGTTTGTTTATATGAATTATATATAATCCTTATTCCTAATATGGCATTATATTGGTTGTTGGATGAATTATTGGTGAGGGGTTATCTCCACCTACCAGATTTTGTTTTTAAACTTACCGTTGTTCTAACTTCTCTATTCCGTCATGAAATCCGATACCGGCGGATGATTCTCGTAATTGGTGTGCCATTTGATCCAGTTGTAACGCTTGGAATTTGTCTGCACTATCTTTCTCTAGTTCGTGTTGGACAGAGCGGCACAAACTGCGTTGAAAGGTGAATTAATTTCCCATTTATATTCATGCTACTGACAAGTGTCAATGAGCGACAGCATGAAATTTAACACTTTTTTGTGTAAAAAGGCAACCATCAAACGGATCGAAGGAAACAAATTTCATTTAATTTCGGAACAAAAAACTTTCATTTCATATCCATTTCTACTCGCATCCACATTCGATGATAATCAAGAGTTTTGGTCTTTTGGGGTGAAGACAATTCACTTTTTTCTCACTTTTGGCTTACAGCTGCAATCATTCCTGCCAGAGAGTTCCGTATATCTTGATCATAACTTGATATGGTGGCATTGTAGGATGGATCTCAAAATTAGAGCGAAATCAAGTCATTCGTAATGATTATTCGTAATGAACCACCGTGCCCATAAGGCTGTATGCTTAAGTTTAAATACCAACAACAAAATACACATTATCTATTTTCAAGGAAAAATAGTATTTCACTGATGCTAAATGTTTACAGTTAGCAAGGTGAAAAAATTGATCCGTTCAAAACTTGTATTAATTTGAATCAATAGCCTTTTAGCCTACAAAGCAGTTATTGTTCATTCGAATGGGGTATCAACATATGTGTCAGCGACATTGCCTTTGTGCCATTGTGGTCAGTAATCCACGCATAAATTAGAATGTTCTGAAAAAGATAGTCAGTTTGATTAGAACGGTGTTCCATTCTGTTGTTCTGTATTACTTTTACTTGACAGTATGCTTGCAAGGGTTATGAGGCAAAACTTGATCGTTTGTGTATTCAGTGAATCAAGTGGCTGAGCCCGGTCGTTCACGTCACATTGGTTGCGTCGGTTAGTCAATCCAGACAGCCTTGTAACTAAACGCTCTAATACGCACATAACATAAGACGCATGCGTGGTTTTAACTACCCAAGTACTTAAGAAATAGTCAGCATCTAATGATACACATGTTTTCCTGTTGCTGCCTGATATAGATTTAGGCCTATCTGGACTAACCAACTGTGGTAACCTGATTATTAACTCTCGATCAGCCAAGAAAGTTGGACTCTTGAAATCTCCATATGGAAAGTACACAAATAAGCTGATCCATTTTTGTCACCTAGAGAAATCAATTTATTCAAGACAGAATGTGTGGTTTGGGGTAAATTTCAAGCAAACGATTGCTGGGCAAACGTTATTATTCAATCCATTATCAAGCGAAGAAAAATTACATGTGTATAAATTGAGAAAACCGGAATGTAAAACAAATTATATCTAGGGCTTATCCAAGCTGGTAATGCGATAAATTTAGCCATTTTAAATATGACTATCTAGCATTTGACATTTGTATGAACGCTGATGTGCGTTCTTTCCCGGTGCGTGAATTTAAACCAAGTTTATTTAAACACACTGCAAGCTGATTTAACCGCTACTGAAATACACAATCTCAATGATTTTTAGTATTTAGTTTATAATTCCAGTAATTTATTCTGTGCAGCTTTCGTATTACATTAAAACTAAGTATGTACAGTCCCGACGGGACTCAAATGGACTGCAACGGGATGGGTCGAATGCAACCTTTCGCAGTAATGTACGATTGTTCATTCGTGATTTTTTTTCACCACAGATTTATAAATGAACCTCAATGCCCAACGACTCAATCCATGTAAATCCATGGACAAAGGAAACTATTCAGAGAACTAATCGTTGATTGAAGCAATAAATTGTCAAATTAAAATCTCAATGCCTTAACAAAAATAAACTCACTCCTCAAGTTTGATACTTTTCCCATAGAATTCAGTATGTCTAATGTATCATCTCAATGTGAACTAGGGATTATTTTGGCTCAGCTGAAAATTGACTCTTTCACTAAAGTTAGTCGTTACAAAGAATATAAATATTTCTTGAACTGCATGTAATATGTGAATAGAAAAAAATATGTTGATTTGTGTGGAACAAATCTCTAACCTCTCATTATTTAGCAGATGAATAGCGCGTGGGTAACAGCGAAATACGCATGAATGAATTTAAACTTCCAACCAATGAGCGAATATGAAGTTCATAAATGCCACTCAATCACCGCCTTGTTTCAGCATTTTTGTGTATGACAACGAATTGTCGTATTATTCAATTGTGCAACCTCTAATATTTCATAGAATTCTGGTTTTATGCAGTGGGATCGACCAAATCAAGTAGACCAGATCGTGTTATATAATTCTTGGGAACATCAGGCACTTCTCCAAACCATTATTTTGTTGTTCCGACGTCTCTGAGCTGAAAGTGATTAAGCAAGGAATATATCCTGGTATTGTTCTCCTTCAAACAGGGACTATAAAATTATTGGGAATTTGAGAAGATCACGTTAGAAGTCAAGAAGTCGAATATATCCATTGTTTCTTCAACGACAGAATTTACGGTTGCCCTTAGTAACACACTACACTGCGGCGTTGTACTTCGCACACAGATGCTCGCCAGACCAAGCGACTGACGGGAAGACAGACAACAAAAACAGATCTAAGTGAATTATTAATGTGTATGTTATAAGTCAGTCTTTTATTTGCCAAGACTAAGAGAACACAATGAGAGTGAAACGGTCGAAATAACAATGGAATGCTTTTTTTGCGATTGCCGATATACAATACGAAGGCAAAACAGAGAGGGTTAGGATTAAGTGAACAGATAGTGGTCCTAAGGTACCCGTAGTTGAAAGTTCTCAATATTAGTTGCGAATTAAACTGAAATTATCCACAGTATTAATCAGTTGTGCTCTTATTTAGTTCATACGATTTGATAGGCACCGGGAGTGTAAGTCCATTGTACGAAAAGGAGTACGTGCTAGTGAACAGTCCCAAAAAGATGGAACATTTGTGAAGCAAGCTTTGCTAGCTAGCCCAAACTAAATTCCGTCTGACATGCCCCAAACATTCTCTTTTGGTGGTGTTAAGTCAAACATTCCATTTAAATGTAACATTTGAAAATGCACAATCCCAGTGCTACTCACGGTATGACATTTTAAGGCAAAACATCGAGGAATGTGTGAAGAAAACGACAATGGGCACTGGGACATTTACTCATCAATTTTCGTAAGCATCAAGTATTGTTGCTTTTTAGACAATGGATGTTAAATTTACCACAAAAACTGCTTTTGAAATACTTAGTGGTAAACATCGGCTACTCATGGAAATTTAAAGCATTCCTTTAATAC